ATATAATAATATTAAGAAAATAATAAAGATCTTTAAAGGTAATAAGATTAGATAATTAGAATAATATATAGGAAAACTAATAGTAAATATAATCTTTATAGAAAAGTTTAAAATATTAAGTAAAAAAGAAAATATATTAAGGTTATAAGAGGTTTTAGAAATTAAAAGAATAATAATTATAAAATTATTAGAATTTTAAGGAAATAAAAAAGTTAAAAGTAAAAATAATTATATAAAATTAGTTATTATATTAAAATTATATATAAAGAAGTTCTTATTATTCTATTTCTTTTTCCTAAAAAGAGAGAGAGGAATCTAAATTTATATATAATTATCTTTCTTCCTCTTTTAGGTTAAAAAGTAACCTAGTTACTTTTTATATACCTTCCACCTTCCTAGTTTTAGTTTCTCAGAATTTTAAAAGTTATTTCTAGAACCTGTTTTTAGTCCCGGAAGCCCGGAGGCTTATTTTTAGTTTTCTAGTTTCCAGAAACCTGGAAACTTATTTTTAACTTTTCGGGTTCCAGAAGTCTAGAAACTTATTTTTAGCTTTTTATATTCTAAAAGTCTAGAAACTTCTTCTAGTTCTAAACTAATTTCTTAATTCTAGGCTGGTTTCTTAGTTCTAAGCTAGTTTCTTAGTTCTAGGTATTAGGGTTTCTAGCCCATATAGCCTATGCCCATGGCCAGCTAGCAGAACCGGCCCGCTGCCAGCACATAGCGCTGACATAAAGCAATTTCCCACATAAAAGAAATGCCGCAAGTCAGCCCTTAGTCAATTAAAACTTAAAATAATACATTCCCATTTTACATCAGTAACTTACCCTAAAAAGCATAACACTAGGCTAATTTCTTAGTTCTAAGCTAATTTCTTAGTTCTAGGCTAGTTTCTTAGTTCTAAACTAGTTTCTTAATTCCAAGCTAGTTTCTTCATTCTAAGCTAGTTTCTATTTTAATAAAGAAATAGAAAAATAGTTTTTCTTTTTAATAAGTTAATTTTTATTTAAATATAATAATAAAAAGTAAAAAAATATAACTTATTTACTTTAAAGTTAATATCTATTAATAGATTATTTATAAAGTTAGTAATTATTTATATATTAGATATATTATTACTAGTAAGATTATATATTAAATTTTTTAATTAAATAAGTAAACTATTAAAAAAGTAAGATTATTATTTCTTTCCTAATAAGTAAGTATAGGAGTACTTACTCTTATATATAGTAGTACTAAGTTACTATCTAGCTTATAATTATATACTATCTAAAATAGTATAGTAGTAATATCTAATAATATAAATTAAAAACTCTAATAATATTATTTAAAATAATATAATAATAATATTTAATAAATAAAATATTAAAATAATTAATTAATAAAAATAAAATTATAATTAAAAATATTTTTAAATAAAAAAAAGTTAAAATTATATAAATATTAAATAGAAAATATTTTAATATATAAAATAATAAAAAATTATTTAAAGTTATTATATAAATTAATTTATAAAATAATAATAAA